GAAAAACAGAAACAATGCCCTGAATTTGAAGATCAATATCTCACTAACCAGAAGGAATTAGACAGTGTATAATATATCAAAAGAACTCCCCCGAAGAGATCTAAAACATATCCAAATTTCAGATAAAACTAACCTGTGGATCTCGAGATATAGGTAATTCTTTGAAACTGGTCACAGCTCGCGGAAATCTGGACAGGGTGTGATTGAGACGTGATTGCGCGTAAATGCGCTTTGGATATAGGTAAGGGTGAGATGGGGTTGTTTTCTTAACAGAATATGTGGTAATATGGTGCTTAGGAGGTGTGAGGTCTCATTGATATTGGACGAGAAAAAGGAAAACCTCTTTCGGGATAGGTTTTCAGGAAACTAAAGAACATGTATCAAGAGTCAAGAAAATAATCAAGAATGCTAAGGAAAATTTTTTTGGGGGTTTTTTAATGAATAAGACACAAAAAAAAGTAGTATATAAGATAAGAACGAGATAAACCTAGGGAACCAAAGAAATCAAATTTCTAACGATAATGAGATAAACCTAGGCTCTGAATACCAAATTGATATGAACCTTGTCCAAGGTTCAAATAAAATGGAATATTGTCCAAAGATTACTCTCAATGCAAAGATAGAGATGGATCAAAATACCTTAAACCTCACGAGAAACCCTTTGTCTCGAATCCTCAAAGACTTGGAAGAATCCCATGTAGCTTCAAGTGCCTCGATGTTGCAACCTTCAATCAACTAGAGTCGGATCTAGTTTCCTTCGATTCAAGAACGAGTCCACGAACCTAAATCTAAGGTTGAAGAAAGGAAGATTGATTCGAGTCCACGAATCAATTTGCTAGTCGAGTCCACGACTAGCCACTAATTGAGTCCACAATTAGCCATAAGGTTTCTTACACAAGTGTAAAGAAAAACTTAAGAATTTTATTGAATTGAAGCATGTTTAAAACTGATATGGATGTGCCCTATTTATAGGTATAGGGCAGCATTGTAATCTAAATACAGTGGGAAAAAGAGTCCTAAACCTAATCTAGAAAACAAGTAAATAGAGTTTTATTTAGAAAAGGATTTAAGGAATCCTTTCTAAATACAACTAGTGTTTTCTCTTTTATGCCAAACAATTTAAATTAATGATGACAAAAAATAATAGGGCTGATTTGGGCCTAATTTAATCAACAAAATCAGCACTTAAACAATTATAAAAAAGCCTTGAGTTCTTCTTCATATTTTGCAAATGGGCTTGACTTGGATTTCCACCATCTTTGAACATCACCAATGAAGAGTTGCCTTAATTGTTTGGACTTGGGCCTTGTGATTGGCCCAATTAGTACTCTTAATGGATCTTCATATGTTGGGCCGCATCATCCTCCCCTTCTTGAAAATGATTCGACCTCGAATCTTGTAAGCATTGTCTTCGATCCATGATATCACTTGAAATTGGCCACTATAATATTTTCCTCTATCGAATGGACTTATTATTGGTCTTTGTTGTTTGTTCCACCAATGATGTTTTAAGGTCGTAGTTATGGGCCTTGTGATGAGCCCACTATTTACCCATACTGGATTCCATGTGTACTGGTTCCTATTATTCTCCCATTCTTGAAAAGGATTCGTCATCGAATCCAAATCTTCAGTGAAAGACAAGGTAGCAAGCTCACTTTCTGTTTTATCACGCTCATGGAACTTTTTCTTGGGATGCTTGACACGAGTCGCTCCAATCATCATCCTACAATCAACAAGTAAGGCAATTAAGTCTAATGACACATCAGGGAATTTAAACATTCTGGATGGTAATAATTCAACAAAATGAGACATATTAAATTTATGCATCTTATTTGAATTGTCAACAAGCACAAAATCTTTCCTCCTAGAGCTTAAGGTAAAATCAAACAGAAAATTTATGGAAATATCAAGTAATGATTTAGATGTATTATGGTGGTAAGTAGCACAATTCTGAACATAAGATTCTACATCTTTTTTCTTCTTTGGCCAATGAAAATATTCATGCAAAAGATCATTACTCTTTAGAAAATCAAAATGTCCCGTATGTGAATCAACAATTAAATCATTGCCCAAAACAAAGCAAAAAGTGTCAATCCCATTGACTTTGAACCAAAACCCCTTGTCCAAGTGGTATTTGCCATAAGAAGTTTTCAAATGTGCCTTATAATTTCCAAGTGATTCCTTATCTCTATCAAATAAAGTTTTAGTAAAATCAAAATTAAGGAATCTTGGATGTATTGATGCAAACAAATTTCTAGCACATCTGGCAAGTAGGTCATTAATAGAAACATGGCAAACAAATCTAGAGAATTTTAATGCATGCTTTTGAAATAAAAGTGAGTAAATAGTTACTCCCCTTCTTTTCTCTTGCTTATTATCTTTTTTTGTTAGCAAGCGAGGCTGCACTTTGATAGCTCTGGCTGGTTCTTTCCACTGTACCACTGATAGCGGTTCCTTTGTTTGGCTACAATCTAAGTTAGAGGACTGGAGTGGTGACTCCAATTCTAAACGTGGAGGTTCCAGTTTGCTCTCTTTGATTTCTTCTTTCTTCAAGGCTGGTTTGAGAACTTGCTTCGATCTCAATTGAATTTCTTCTACTTGTTTTGGAAGTAGAGGCTTAAGCACATGTATAAATCTATTATAGGTGACATTGCATGTGTTGTTGAGTGCATTATAATAAAAATGTCTATAGAACGCCCCCGAAGAGATCTAAAACATATCAAAATATCAGATAAAACTAACCAGTGGATCTTGAGATATAGGTAATTCTTTGAAACTGGTCACAGCTCGCGGAAATCTGGACAGGGTGTGATTGAGACGTGATTGCGCGTAAATGCGCTTTGGATATAGGTAAGGGTGAGATGGGGTTGTTTTCTTTACAGAATATGTGGTAATATGGTGCTTAGGAGGTGTGAGGTCTCGTTGATATTGGACGAGAAAAAGGAAAACCTCTTTCGGGATAGGTTTTCAGGAAACTAAAGAACATGTATCAAGAGTCAAGAAAATAATCAAGAATGCTAAGGAAAATTTTTTTGGGGGTTTTTTAATGAATAAGACACGAAAAAAAGTAGTATATAAGATAAGAACGAGATAAACCTAGGGAACCAAAGAAATCAAATTTCTAACGATAATGAGATAAACCTAGGCTCTGAATACCAAATTGATATGAACCTAGTCCAAGGTTCAAATAAAATGGAATATTGTCCAAAGATTACTCTCAATGCAAAGATAGAGATGGATCAAAATACCTTAAACCTCACGAGAAACCCTTTGTCTCGAATCCTCAAAGACTTGGAAGAATCCCATGTAGCTTCAAGTACCTCGATGTTGCAACCTTCAATCAACTAGAGTCGGATCTAGTTTCCTTCGATTCAAGAACGAGTCCACGAACCTAAATCTAAGGTTGAAGAAAGGAAGATTGATTCGAATCCACGAATCAATTTGCTAGTCGAGTCCACGACTAGCCACTAATTGAGTCCACAATTAGCCATAAGGTTTCTTACACAAGTGTAAAGAAAAACTTAAGAATTTTATTGAATTGAAGCCTGTTTAAAACTGATATGGATGTGCCCTATTTATAGGTATAGGGCAGCATTGTAATCTAAATACAATGGGAAAAAGAGTCCTAAACCTAATCTAGAAAACAAGTAAATAGAGTTTTATTTTGAAAAGGATTTAAGGAATCCTTTCTAAATACAACTAGTGTTTTCTCTTTTATGCCAAACAATTTAAATTAATGATGACCAAAAATAATAGGGCTGATTTGGGCCTAATTTAATCACCAAAATCAGCACTTAAACAATTATAAAAAAGCCTTGAGTTCTTCTTCATATTTTGCAAATGGGCTTGACTTGGATTTCCACCATCTTTGAACATCACCAATGAAGAGTTGCCTTAATTGTTTGGACTTGGGCCTTGTGATTGGCCCAATTAGTACTCTTAATGGATCTTCATATGTTGGGCCGCATCACCTTATCACCCTTCAACCCGGTGTGGCGGCTTCCCTATTCATCCATACACGTCCTCACCCATTTCCCATACCCCACATCAACCACAATCCACAAAAACAACCCCTACACTTCAAAATCAGTACACAGAATTTGGGAAAACGGATCGTGACTTGAGCTGTGGAGTTCTAGGCCTTTAAATCCAATATCAAGCCGGTGGAACCCACATCATCTTGGTATCAGAGCCTTGGTTGCCATTCTCATCAAAATCAGGTCACGAAATACTTGTTTTCTTTTGTTTCTTGTGTCAATTTGTTCCATGTCAAAATCTGTGAATTGAATGCAAGTTTGCATGAAAAGCTTTCTTTTCATGGTTTGTTGTCAATTTTTCTATATATATTGCTTCCCCTATATGTCTTTTAGGTGTCTAAACTCATTCAAAAAGATCCATATATGTTGATAGACACTGAAAGTCACATCAAACCATCCTATATTGTAAATATGCCAGGATTGCCCTATTTGCGCTGTTAGAAAAAAAAATCTGAAAAAATAGTTCCTCTTGTTTATTTGATCTGAATTTTTTTTGTGGTAATAGATAACTCATCAATATTCCCTTCCACAAAAAAATTTTGCCGAAAGAATCCATACACAAACACAGAAAATTCTGAGAAATACACTGGCAGAATCTTGTTTTCTGGGGATGATATCTTCTAGTTCTGTCTTTTGAGTTTTGTTCATTTTTTTTTGTTGCCACACATAAATATACTTTGTATATCCTCTATTTTTCATTCATATCCTTTCTTATTCTTGTCATCGTACGTCTTTGTGTGTGGTATCTCCTTGTTTGAGTTGAAATTGTTCTTAGAATTCCAAGAAAGGTCCTTGAATTCAACTTGTGTGTGATTTGAACTTGTGAGCATAATAGAGTGTTCATACACGAGTGGTAAAATTTGAGTGATCACCCCCTAAAAAGAGTGAGTGTGAGGGAGAGAAGTGAGGTCCAACTTAATCTTTTATCTTGTTGTTGCACTTTTGTTTCTATTGCAGCTCAATATGTCGGGGTCTGGCCAATCTAATAATGAGTCAAGCATGAGTCCAAATACCAAGTGTATGGTGGATATGAAAGGGGAGTTTACTAGGCTTGGTAATTTAATGAGTGAGCTGGCTGACCGTTTGGAGAGGTTAGAATTGGAGAGGGAACAAAATAGAAATGAGGGAGGAAATGATCAAAGGGCACAAGGGAATGAGGGAGAACGGAGGAGATATAATTTGAGAGCCCAAGGGAATGTGGGAGTTGAGTCTTCTACGGGCTATGATAGTGAGGAGATTGAGGATAGTGAGATAGAAATGGGAAGGAGAGAAAGAGGGAGAAGAAGGGCAGCAAGAAGGGATGTAGATGATGATTTGGGCAACATTAAAATGAGTATGCCTAATTTCCAAGGGAAGAGTGATCCGGATGCCTATCTAGAGTGGGAGAGTAAGGTAGAGAGGGTGTTTGATTGTCACAATTATTCGGAGAGGAAGAAGGTGAAATTCGTAGCCTTGGAATTCACTGATTATGCCACTTTATGGTGGGATAAGTTAGTGTTGACAAGGAGAAGAAGTGGAGACCGACCTATTGAATCATGGAGAGAAATGAAGATAGCCATGCGCAAGAAGTACATTCCAACTTGGTACTACCGTGAGCTCTATCAACAACTCCAAGATTTGGTGCAAGGGAGGCTGTCCGTAGCTGAATATGACCATGAAAATGAGAAATTGATGACAAAGCTGGGTTTGGAGGAGGATCCACAAAGCACCATTGCCCGTTTCATCAAGGGGCTAAATTGGGACATCTGTGAGGAGATGGAAATGCATGATTTTGTGGACTATGAAGAGATGGTTCAAAAGGCTGTCCAAATTGAGAAAAAGCTCATGAAGAGGAAAAAGAGGGCCCAATCCAACACTTCAAATTGGAAAGCTAGCAAGGGACAAAAGGAATGGAAAAATGACTCCAAAGGAGAAGCTAGCAAACCGAAAGAAGCTGTTGATAAAAGTAAAGGTAAAGTTGAATTTTCTTCAACTAAACCAAGTGGTGTTCGTTGTTTTAGGTGCCAAGGAAGAGGACACATTGCCAAAGACTGTCTTAATAAGAAAACAATGATAATTAATGATTTTGGTGATATTCAAACTGAATCTGACCAAGATAAAGAGATGAGCAATGAGGATTCACAAGGGGAAAGTGCTGAAATTCAAGAAGCTGTAGAAGGGGAGTTCTTGATGGTGAGGAGAATGTTGAATGCTCAAGCCAAAGAAGATGAGGCACAAAGGGAGAACATCTTCCACACACGGTGTCATGTTCATGGGAAGGTTTGCAAGGTGATCATTGATGGTGGAAGTTGTGCTAATGTTGCTAGCACTGAATTGGCAAATAAGCTTGGCTTGCAAACTAGATCACACCCTACCCCATATTCTTTGCAATGGTTAAACAAAACTAGGGAGATTAAAGTGGACAAGCAAGTGATGGTGCCCATGTCTATTGGAAAATATGAAGATAGCATTTTGTGTGATGTGGTGCCTATGCAAGCTGCTCATGTGTTGTTGGGGCGTCCTTGGCAGTTTGACAAGAAGACAACTCACGAAGGACACACCAACAAATATTCTTTCTTTCATAATGGTAGAAAAATTGTACTTGTACTTTTATCCCCAAAACAGATTTTTGAGGATGAAAAGAAAGAGAGAGAAAAAGAAAAAAAGAATGGAAAAGAAAGAATGAGTGAAATAGAAAATTTGAGTGAAAAAGAATTGAGTGGAAAACAAGGAGAGATAAAAGAAATGAGTGCACAAAAAAGAGAGGAGAAAAAGAAGAAACAAAATTTCTTTTGTACTGGAAAAATCGTGGAAAAAGTTTTGAGAGAGGGGAGACCTATTTACTTGATACTTTTTAAAGAGGCTAACCTTGAAAATATTAGCCTTGAACATATGCCCAAGGAAATATCTTCTCTTTTGCAAGAATTTGGTGATGTTTTTCCAAAGGAACTTCCTAAGGGATTGCCCCCTTTGAGAGGAATCGAGCACCATATTGATTTGGTACCCGGGGCACCAATTCCAAACCGTCCAGCCTATAGATGTAGTCCTGAGGAGACTAAGGAGATTCAAAGGCAAGTGGAGGAACTTTTAGCTAAGGGGAAAATTCGAGAAAGCCTTAGTCCATGTGCAGTGCCCGTGATACTAGTGCCAAAGAAGGATGGAACATGGAGGATGTGTGTTGATTGTCGAGAAATCAACAAGATTACGGTGAAATATAGATTTCCCATCCCCCGTTTAGATGATATGCTTGATCAACTTTGTGGTGCTTGCGTGTTTTCTAAAGTGGACTTAAAATCTGGTTATCACCAAATTAGAATCCGTGAGGGTGATGAATGGAAGACAGCATTCAAGACCAAACAAGGTCTATATGAATGGCTTGTCATGCCATTTGGACTCACAAATGCTCCTAGCACTTTCATGAGGCTCATGAATCATGTGCTACGGGGGTATATTGGTGAGTTTGTGGTGGTTTACGTTGATGATATTCTTATTTACAGCCATGATTTGAATGAACACGTCACACACTTGCACAAAATATTCACCATTTTAAGGAAGCATAAACTATATGCCAACCTTGAAAAGTGTGAATTTTGTACATCTTCAATTCACTTTCTTGGCTATATTGTGAGTGCAAATGGAATTGAGGTTGATGGAGCTAAAGTTAAGGCTATCCTTGAATGGCATGTTGGATTGTAGACCGGTGGATAATCCAATGGATCCAAATGTTAAACTCTTACCAGGACAGGGGGAGCCATTACTTGACCGAGAACGATATAGGAGATTAATTGGAAAATTGAATTACCTCACAATCACACGACCAGATATCTCTTTTGCAGTTAGTGTGTTGAGTCAGTTTCTTGAGAATCCTTGTGATACTCATTGGGATGTTGCTGTTCGCATTCTAAGGTATATCAAGAGAGCACCAGGACAGGGTTTACTATATGAAGATAGAAGACATGCACAGGTTGTTGGGTATTCTGATGCAGATTCTGTTGAGGACATCGATGGTGACGAGAGTAGAGATCCACTACACGTTTTGGATGGTCCTACAACGCGGGCTAGAGCAAGGAGGTTGCAAGATTCTGTGAGTGCGCTCATACAAGCCAATTTTGTGGTTGGACATTCGGATGGGTATGATGTCCGTGTGATCAATTTAATTGGTGTCCAATTTAATTAAATTGTCTCATATTTGTCACCAATTGTCACCCCAAATGCCTACAATGGGATTAGGTTGCAATTAGACATTCAATGTCAATTTACAAAGTTGCTGAAAATCTGGCGCAACAATAATTTAAGGCCCGTGCACGTCAACCCACTCATTTGCGTGTCACAAGCCTTATATGGGCTGAAAGGAGACTCTCTGAACAATAATACAGTGGTTGAGCCGAGCTTGGTTACGGAAGGTGGTCCGAGCTGCACTCGCGAGAAGAAAGAGTCCTGGCAGTTTAGGGCTCCTCCTTTTTAGGCTAGACTTGATCATCTTTTATGTTTCCTATTCAACTTTGTATTCCCTAGTCTTTTGCTAATTGTTAGGCCTAATTTCTTGGCACAACATGTGATAGCTTAAAATAATGTAACTTCTAGGGGAAATCAGATTACGTTGAAATTATTTTGGCAACAAGATTGCTCTCCTCCTTGAGTTCTTCAAGGTTCTTCTGACTTATCAAAGGTTTTCCCTTTGTGGCGTCTAAAACTCCCTCGTATCACCATAAACCAGGTGTGGCCGAGGCTATCTTTAAAAAAACCAACAAAAAGAAACCCCGTAACCCTCACAACCATACCCAAACACCCAATCAACCCAACATACAAGAACTGTGTGTGGAGCTCGGCTTGCTACTGCAAAACTCGAAGGCTTACAACGACAAAGCTTGCACCACGGATCACATCAAATTTGGTATCAAAGCCAAGTTGCTCTCACGCTTCAAGAGGTTACAAAATTTCTCCTCAAATTTTAGTTTAAAACATAAACTGCTTGAAATTTGCAGATTTGCGCAGTCAACTTTGAAAATACGAAACAAATACTTTCTAGTGTCCTTTTTGTCTGAATTTTTTTCCTGCATTTCATACTCTTGTTGAACTTGAAATCTGGAAAAAATTGAGTGAAAATTCGTTACCATCTGTTCCCAGAAAATTCTCAAAGTTTCGTCCAGTTTACTGAAATTCGCAGTTTTGCGCAATCAACTTTGAAAATCCAAAAAAAAATAGTTTCTTGTGTCTTTTCTATCTGAATTTTTTTTCTGCATTTAGTACACTTGTTGAACTTCATATCTGAAAAAAATTTAATGAATATTCGCTACCATCTGTTCCCAGAAAATTCTTAAAGTTTCATCCCGTTTTTAGCTTTTTCTGTCCAGATTATGGCAATTCTTGTGTAGCTTGAACTTTTGTTTATTCTTGCTGTTTCCTTGTTTTCCTATCGATTTGAAGTGATCTTTGCAAAAAAAAAAAAAAAAAAAAAGAGAGAGAAAGAAATCAAAAAAAAAAAAAAAATAGAAGAATACAAAATAAAAAAGAAAAAAAAAAGTGTTGGATTCTTGTCATTACTTGTTTCATCCTTATATTTATTATCTATCAATCAGTAATTCTTGTTTGGAAGTATTGCCTTATCTGTTTTTCCTTTTGAGCCACACTTGAACAACACATTCCAGCCTAAATTGACCATACCCTAGCCTTTCACCTTTATCCAAATTGTTATGTTTTAATCCCATTTAGAGTACTTTTGGTTTGACTTGAGGAACCCGTCAAGAACTCGAAGGACGAAGCCTTGTTTGTCATCTTGTGTGAACTTTAGTGAGATTAATAGAGAGTCAGATACACGAGTGGTAAGAAACTGAGTGATCACCCCTTCCAAAAGAGTGCAAGTGAGGGAGTGCTGAGAGGTTCTTGAATTACTCTATTTTTTTTTCTAACACGTTTTGTGCAGGTTAAATATGTCGGGACCTAGTGAAATGGATGACCATCAAGTAAGCCCCGACGTGAGGTTCATGATGCGGGCAATGAGGGGAGAGTTTGAGAGGGTTAATAGAAGGTTTGATGGGTTGACAGAACGAATTGAATAGTGGAGGAAGAAGTGAATGGAAATCAAAATGGTGTACGAGCTCAAAATAGAGGGCAAAATGGGAGGGAGAATGATAGTCAGGGAGGTAGTGATGGGGATAATGAGGAAGAAGTTGTGAGGAATCCGGAGAGAGGGAGACATAGAGGAGGAAATAGAGCTATAGAGGGTAGTGATGATGACATGGGAAAAATTAAGATGTCTATTCCTAAATTTCAAGGAAAAAATGATCCTGAAGCTTACTTAGAGTGGGTGAATAAGGTGGAGAGAGTGTTTGAGTGTCATAGTGATATGAACCTAGTCCAAGGTTCAAATAAGATGGAATATTGTCCCAAGAATGCTCTCACAATTAAAGATAGAGATGGATCAAAATACCTTAGACCTCACGAGAAACCCTTTGTCTCGAATCCTCAAAGACTTGGAAGAATCCCATGTAGCTTCAAGTACCTCGATGTTGCAATCTTCAATCAACTAGAGTCGGATCTAGTTTCCTTCGATTCAAGAACGAGTCCACGAACCTAAATCTAAGGTTGAAGAAAGTAAGATTGATTCGAGTCCACGAATCAATTTGCTAGTCGAGTCCACGATTAGCCACTAATTGAGTCCACAATTAGCCATAAGGTTTCTTACACAAGTGTAAAGAAAAACTTAAGAATTTTATTGAATTAAAGTCTGCCAAAACTGATATGGATGTGCCCTATTTATAGGTATAGGGCAGCATTGTAATCTAAATACAATGGGAAAAAGAGTCCTAAACCTAATCTAGAAAACAAGTAAATAGAGTTTTATTTAGAAAAGGATTTAAGGAATCCTTTCTAAATACAACTAGTGTTTTCTCTTTAATTCTAAACAATTTAAAATAAATGATGACCACAAATAATAAAGCTGATTTGGGCCTCGGATCTTGTGATTGGCCCAATTTGTAATCTTAATGGATCTTCATTATGTTGGGCCGCATCATCCTCCCCTTCTTGAAAAATGATTCGACCTCGAATCTTATAAACATTGTCTTCGATCCGTGACATCACTTGAAACGGGCCACTATAATACTTTCCTCTATCGAATGGAATTATTATTGGAATTCCTTGATTTTTCCACCAATGATGCTTTAAGGATGTACTTTTTGGCCTTGTGATGAGCCCACTATAGACCCTTATTGGATTCCATGTGTGCTGGTTCCTATTATTCTCGCATTCTTGAAAAGGATTCGTCCTCGAATCCAAATCTTCAATGAAAGACAAAGTAGCAAGCTCACTTTCTGTTTTATCACGCTCATGGAACTTTTTCTTGGGGTGCTTGACACGAGTCGCTCCAATCATCATCCTACAATCAACAAGTAAGGCAATTAAGTCTAATGACACATCATGGAATTTAAACATTCTGGATAGTAATAGATCAGCAAAACGAGACATATTAAATTTAGCCATCTTGTTTGAATTTTCAACAAACACAACATCTTTCCTTCTAGAGCTTAAGGCTAAACCAAACACAAAATCCATGGAAATATCAAGTAATGTTTTAAATGTATTGTGGTGGTAAGTAGCACAATTATGAACATAAGATTCTACATCTTTTTTCTTCTTTGGCCAATGAAGATATCCATGCAAAACATCATCACTCTTTGAAAAATCAAAATGTCCCTTATGTGAATCAACAATTAAATCATTGCCTAAAACAAAGCAAAAAGTGTCAATCCCATTGACTTTGAACCAAAACCCCTTGTGCAAGTGGTATTTGCCATAAGAAGTTTTCAAATGTGCCTTATAACTTCCAAGTGATTCCTTATCTCTATCAAATAAAGTTTTAGTAAAATCAAAATTAAGGAATCTTGGATGTATGGAGGCAAACAAATTTCTAATACATCTAGCAAGTAGGTCATTAATAGAAACATGGCAAACAAATCTAGAGAATTTTAATGCATGCTTTTGAAATAAAAGTGAGTAAATAGTTACTCCCCTTCTTTTCTCTTGCTTAATATCCTTTGTAGTTACCAAGAGAGGTTGCACTTTGACAACTTGGGCTGGTCCTTTCCACTGTATCACTGATTGTGGTCCCTTTGTTTGGCTACAAACTGAGTTAGAGGATTGGAGTGGTGATTGCAATTCCAAACATGGAGGTTCCACTTTTCTCTCTTTGATTTCTTCCTTCTTTGATGCTGGTTTGAGAACTTGCATGAATGTCAATTGAATTTCTTCTACATGTTTAGGATACAAACGAGGAAAGACATATGTAACTCCATTCATGTGAAACACATAAGTGTTCCTCATTCCATCATAACTTATTTTTCTGTCAAATTGCCATGGTCTACCTAACAAGATATGAGCAGCCTGCATTGGGATATTATCACACAAGATTTCATCAGAGTAACTGTTAATAGATAAAGGAATAAGAGCCTGTTTGGTTACTCTAACTTCTCCTGCATCAGTTAACCATTGCAAACAATAAGGATTTGGATGATTAAGCAAAGGTAACTGAAGAAATTTAACCATAGTTGCACTAGCCACATTTGTGCAACTTCTAGAATCTATTACCATAACACACGCATTCTCTCTAATTGACCCTTTAGCACAAAATATATTTTCTCTTTGAGAATGATCTTCTTGTAAAGGGTGGACATTCAGAACCTCCTTAACAACAACAG